GACAGTGTTCCTTTTGGATCCTGAATGGTGTGAAGTGTATAATTTCTTCAGTCCCTCCTGGTCCACTTCCATCATCCCACTATCCATTCACTGGAGGCCAAGGAGCTCTGTAGGGACAATCCTGAGATCATTCTTACCCTCATTCTCTTGCCTTCATTTGGTGCTACAAGGCTGCAGTTTTGAGGACATAGGATTGGATCTAAAATTTCCCATAAATCTGCTTAATTTAGGAACTTTTTATATTCTCCATATGTTTGAGGCTTTGAGCACATTATAAAGCAGGTTTTAATAAAGGGTTGAGTACTTCGAGTACATGAATTTAAGTTTTAAAGTAAAAGTAGAAAGAGAAAATGGAGGCATTGAACAGAAGAAGTAAATATGAGAACAATGAGGGGAGGGAGGTTTTAATCCATGCTAGTTTCTCTATATGGTCATCATATTTAGCTCAAAGCTTCCTAGCTGGCTGAGTAAAAAGAGAAATATGTTTACAAATTATTTTTATCATAAAAATAGAAATATATCAATCTTGAAAGGTACACTTTTTTCTTTACATTAAATTCCAAATGATTTATTATGTGGGATATTTTATAGAGCAAAATATAGCAGCAGTATTCTCAGTAATGTTAGCACATATGCAGATCCCCCTCATCCCCCCCCCCCCACACACACACACTTACCCCTGTTACCACCCTCAGTAAAGGTTGAGGGCAAAATATGAAGTTTGACTATTAACATCTCAGTTCCTGGGGCAATCCCATATATGCCGAAATATAAAGCAAGCATGAAAATATGATAATACCCCATTTTCTCAACAAGAAGACCCCCCCAAAAATATTTGGCCATTTGAATATAAATGTTTAGGGGTGTAAATAGTCTACTTATACCATTTGATTTCATAATTTAATTATATACACTTAAAATCACGCATACAAAACTACATATTTAGAAATATTGACATTTTTCCATTTATATTTCAAGAAAACAATAGTATTATCACTATATAAATGTATTGTCTACATCAGTGGCTTCATCATTGTAGTCACTTTTTGAGTCATCTTGTAGAGTTTTCAGGAATGAAATGATTTCATTTCCAGCTAATTGTTGCTTTTGAGAGATGTCTTTTTTTTTTTTAATTCATGCATAACATCCCCACTGAAAATTGTATCCCAAGCCCCCAGATACCTATTGGTGTGGCATTAGAGCAGCGCCCTCACTTCTACCCCATTTATCTAATAGGGTTTATCTGTGATGACTCCACATGAAGACCTCTTGTATAGATTTTTTAAGTGACCTTTAAACAAAGTCAACCATTTGCAACTAAGAGGCCATTACTTTGGGAACCATGATTAAATTCCATCCACTCTTTTATTCCTTGTTTGAACAGGTTACTTCTCTAAGCATCTAAAACCAGACTTGATTGAGGTCATTTCCTGCCAATGTGTCCCCGCTACCAACAGTACTTTGTGGTTCAAAATAAAGTAATTGAGAGCACAAGAATCTGATACAGAACTGTTAAAGGCATTTTCAGTAATTTTGTCACATGGTGGCCATGTGCTTAATCTGCCCATAACACAGCACACTTGGAAACTCACCCAGGAAATGCTGAGTGATTAAGAAGGGGGACACTCCCCTGGGAAACATGGAGACAACTGTGCTTTGCTAGGTGCATAATCTTGAGAAGATCATGTAAATTCTTGGGCTTCAGCTTTCTTGGGGTAAAATGAGGGGTTTGGCTAGATCAGAGAGGGTTTGGGGGAAATGCGAGGGGAGCTGTAGGGATGACTCTGTATTTTGGGGGAAAGAAGCTTCTCTGGTGCCCTCACCTCATTCCCAAGTCAACAGAGTAATTCTGCTTTGATCTATTTTACATAAAGGAACTCCAGGTAAATTTTTCTTTGTAGTAAAGATTCATTTTTTTTTTAATTAAAAAAAAGGGGGATGGATAGGCTGGTACTGAAGTCTGCTTGCTCTGAAGTTCTCTGACTTCAAAGCCATCAGGGGTCATAGTTAAACCTTCTTATTGATGGTTAATGAGGATAAGATGTGCCTCATCACTGGGGTTGAGGGTTGGGAATAAACACTGCCTGTGAGTTGGTGAGCATATGCCATCTGGTGACTCAGATATTATAAAGCCCACCATAAAGTCCCACTTAGCTGGAGTCCCATAATTCTAGAAAACCTGCTCACAGTTTCATGAGAAAGAAGCAAATGACAAGGAAGCAGTGGCTCTCAAACTTTGCAAGCATATTGAATCACCTGGGGAGTTTTTAAAAATTCCAATGCCTGGGCAATAAGCTATGCTAATTAAATCAAACATTGGAAGAGGGACTAAAGTGTCAGTAACTTGTAAATCTCCCAATATGAGTCTAATGTCCTGTCAAGTTTAAGAATAAGTGACATTTGTACAACCAGTATGGCAAACAGTATGGCAGTTTCTCAAAAGATTAAACACAAAATTACCTTATGATCCAACAATCTCACTTATGGGTATATTATACCCCAAAGAATTGAAAGCAGGATCTTGAAGAATATTTATTTGTACACCATGTTCATAGCTGCCTTATTCACAGTAGCACACAGTTGGAAACAACCCAAGTGTCCACTAATGGATGAATGGATAAACAAGATGTGCTATGTACATACAAGGTGAGCTTCCTTAAAAACAAAGAAAATGCTAACATATGATACAAGGTGGTTGACGCTTGAGGACATTATAATGAGCGAAATAAGTCAGTCACAAAAGGACAAATGAGGTACATGCAGAAGTCAGATTCAGACACAGAAATTAGAATGGTGGTTGCCAGGAACTGGGCAAAGGTAGAAATGGAGAGAGTTATTTAATGGGGACAGAGGTTCAGTTTTGCAAGATGAAAAGAGTTCTGAAGATTGATTGCACAACAATGTAAATATGCTTAATACTACTGAACTGTATGCTTAAAAGGGATTAAGATGGTAAATTGTATGCTGTGTACAGTAGTCTGCCCTTATCTGCAGTTTTGCTTTCTGCAGTTTGTTACCCACAATCAACTTCAGTCCAAAAATATTAAATGGAAAATTCCAGAAATAAACAATTCATACCTTTTAAATTGTGTATCGTTCTGAGTAGCATGATGAAATCTTGTGCTGTCCTGCGCCATCCCACATGGAACGTGAATCATCTCTTCACCCAGTGTCTCCACTCTGTATATGATCCCTGCCCCACTCCCCCACCCCGTCACTCATTTAGTAACCCTCTTGGTTACCATACTGACTGTTGGTAGGTATTGCAGTGCTTGTGTTCAAATAACCCTTTTTACAAAGTACAAGAGATGTTAGCAATTCAAATACACCAAAAAGAAGTGGTAAAGTGCTTCCTTTACTTTTTATTTTATTTTTATCCTCACCCAAGGACATTCTTCCATTTTTGTTCAGATAGAGTGGGAGGGAAAGAGAGGAACAGAGAGAGAAACATCAACATGAAAGGGACACATCAAGTGACTGCCTCCCGCACAACCCCAACCAGGGCCGAGGTACGTGCTAGCCAAACTAGCAAGAGCTAAAGTGCTTCCTTTAAATAAAAAGGTATGTGTGTAGGATATCAGCGATTTTTAACCCTTTTCATCTCATGGCACACATAAACTAATTACTAAAATTCTGTAGTACACCAAAAATATTATTTTTTTGCGGATCTGACAAAAAAATAGGCATAATTTTGATTCATTCACACTGGATGACTATTGTGTTGGCTCTCATCATTTTTTAATTTAACAATCTAAGGGAAGCCCTGGCCAGTTTGACTCAGCGGTTAGAGCGTCAGCCCGAGGACCAATGAGTCACGGGTTCGATTTCGGTCAAGGGCATGTACCTTGTGTAGTTCATCCCTGATATTTCTCTCTCTCTCTTCTTCTCTCTCTCTCCCTCCCTCCCACTGTATCTGAAGATAAATAGAAAAATGTCCTCAGGTGAGTATTAAAAAAAAAAAATCTAAGGGAAAAGAGATCAGTGCCCATGACTAAATGGTCAGGTATTGCATGTTTAAATTTTTTTTTTCTTTATTGATTTTAGAGAGACAGGAAGGGAAAGGTAGAGAGAGATAGAAACATTGATGAGAGAGAACATCAATTGGCTGCCTCCTGCACGCCCCTCACTGGGGACTGGGCCCACAATCTGGGCATGTGCTCTGACTAGGAATTGAACCAGTGACCTCTTGGTGCATGGGTCAACCACTGAGCCACTGAGCCACACCAGCTGGGCAGGTATTGCATGTTTTAAAAATTCTTGTGTCGCCCTGGCCAGTTTGGCTCAGCGGTTAGAGCGTCAACCTGCGGTCCTGAGAGGCCCGGGTTCGGTTCCCGCTAAGGGCGCGTACCTCGGTTGCAGTTTGTCCCTGGCCCTGGTTGGTCGTGCGGGTGGCAGCCACTCGATGTGTCCTTTTCACATCGATGTTTCTCTCTCTCTCTCTCTCTGTTCCTGTCTCTCCCTCCCACTCTACCAGAACAAAAAAAAAGGAAAAATGTCCTCAGGTGAGGATAAAAAAAAAAATTTGTGTCATACCGATTGGAAATCATTGTAGTATGTTATGGGATTTGGTACTATCCAAGTTTTCAGGTATCCACTGGGAGTGTAGGAATGTATTCCCCACAAGTAAGGGAAAACTACTGTACTTTAAATATAAACTAACACAATTAAATATAAAATAACATAAAAAGGATAAGTGGCATCATGTAACACCTTGCTTCTCCAAGCGTGATCTGTGGGCTGGCAGCATGGACATCTTCTCAGGAACTTGTTAGATATGTAGCATCTGAGGCCCCACCCCAGGCCTGCTGTATAAAAACCTGCATTTTTTAACAAGAATTCCCAGGTGGTCTGTGCACACATTAAACCTTGAGAAACACTGGCGGTGATGGACTGATTATTAGAGCAGGGTTAGAAGACATAGTGGGCATAGTTATTAGGTTGTCTGCCTACCCAGCATCAACCTGCTCCCCTCCTAATTCTTACATTCTCTGAGTGGCTGCATGCTCAGGAGGCTGACTTCATTCACACCCTACGTGGTCCCAGTCCCCTGGCCAGTAGCTGTTTTATGGGTGGGCAGATTGCCTGGTTCCGGCCAATGAGACTAAGGGAAGTTCTACTGAAGGCGTTCTGGAGACACAAAGAATCAATGGCCTCTCCTTCCTTTGAAAGTCTCCATGTAGGCATTTTGGGACCATGGGGGCAGCTAGTCTGGTCCTTGATAACATGGATCACTGACTCACAAAATATTGGGTCCATCTCACTGGTGGGTTTCTGCTTATGTGAGATCAGAAATGTATTTATTCTTTAACTGTTTGAATAAAAGTTTCTGTTACTTTTAGCCAAGGTTTATCAGCCTCAATACTATGGACTTGGGGCAGGATAATTATTTTGGGGTAGAAGGCTGTTGTATAAATTATAGGATGTTTAGCAACAATCTTGACCTCTGCTCTCTAGATGCCAGCCACACTTTCCCCTCCCTCAGTTTAGACAACAAAAAGTGCCCCCAGACATTGTCAAATGTTATGAGGGGGCAATTTACCCCTAGTTGAGAACCCCTATCTCAGACAAAGACATCCTAATTAATTCAAAGGCCTTTTATTCAGTGGATCCTTAGGAGGGTAAAATCACTGCCCCTGTTCCAGAGTGTTCCAAGGATCAAAGTGAGATCAGGTGTGTGAGAAAAGCAAACACATACAAGATGTTGCTAGTTATTACCTGTCTTTGATGCTGCTGGTAAACTGATAACAATGTTGTAGTTTCCATTTATTCTTAAAATAGGCAGAGATGTTTAACTTAACAGATGGCCAATGTGGATAGTGAATGGAATTTTCCCTCAGTAAAGTGAGGAGTCCTGCCAGCATGTTCGGGCTCTTTCTTCCGCTTCAGAAATCCCAGTCTCTTACCTGCCTGCCTTGAGCTGGGCCACCAATCCTGGTTTATTGTCCACGAGGTAATGGGTGCTGTAGAGTTCACCTGTTGACATATTTTCACAGATTAAGAGCGATCTTCATATTTAGCTGCTAGAGAGAGAGATCAATGCTCTCTGTATAATAATGTATTTGCAGCTCATACATTCATGTATTTGAGACCCACAGAGTTGGGCCCCTGTGCAACCTCTCTTGCCTATACTTCCTTTTCTAAAATTAGCCAACATGTTGAGACCACTTTCCTTAGGAGCCCCCTGACTCCTAAAATCAATGCCTTCGGATCCAATACTTTTTTTAAATTGATTTTTAGAGAGAGAGAAAAGGAGAGGGAGAGAGAGAGAGCAAAACATCCATGTGAGCAAAACATCGGCTGGCTGCCTCCTGCACACCCCACACCGGGATCAAGCCCGAAATCTGGGCATGTGCCCTGACGGGCAATCGAACTGGCAACCTTTTGGTGGGATGGCATGCAACCAACTGAGCCACATCGCCCAGGGCCAGATCCAGTACTTCTTGAACAGTTTAGTTTCATCTGAAGTGTCAAAACATCTGGAAGCAGAAAGGCTTACAGGGGGAGCTGAACTTTACAGAAAGGTCTGAAGGAGAATTGGGAGTAGGGAGACAGGCAAGGGCACTTAGTGCTGGTAAAGAGAGGCATTTGAAAGCAGTGGGTGCATTGATCATTTATGTCACTGAGTACTTACCATGTGTGAGGCTCTACCAAGCACTAGGTCTGGGCCTCCATTGGGGAGCAAAGGCCATTAGAGGCAGCTATGGCCCTTGGAACTTCACAATCTACTGGGGAATATGTGATTGATGCTGAGTTGCTCTCCTAACTTCATCCTGTATTGTGGTATAGGGTAACTATCCCCAGAAACATAGCAACTACCCTGATTTTATGCCCTATTCTCACCCTATAGCCTATGTGCTTTATAAGTAACATACTTTCTGAATTAGAAGTAGTACACTCGTGTTAGGCCATAGATAACATTTTAGAGCCTGGCATATGATGGTTTGGACTGAAGAAGGCATTTGTTGGTAGCTTTACGAAATCACAACAGGCCCTGCTGCAGCCCTATTATTTCCATGAAGAATCAGCTGATGATTGAGCCAATATGTAAAGATAGGTTTAGTCAACAGCGTTGTAAGGAAATCAAGTGGGGATCTTGATCAAACCTCATGCAATTCACCTCTGGACTTTTGGGTAGCTTATGCTAGTAAATTTTCTTAGAACTGATTTTCTGTTGCTTGTATCATAAGCTAAGAGGATGTGACAATGAACAAACCTAAAATATGGGTTGACTGAGAAGAGATGTTTACACAGAGAGCAACAAGGACGTCTTTACTCCAACTAGGAAGACAGAAATCCTGGTTTAGCAAAATGGCTGGTATGGTAGGCCTCTTATATCCTGGAAGACAGACCTTCTGCATATGGAGACATGACATTTGGAGATCTGATGGGAAGTGTTCAGGATTTTGCCTACCTGTGATAGTCTTAATTAATTTAAGGTTCTAGAAGACTCATATTTAGGGGGAAGGTGGTCCATTTGAGAGTGGAGAGGGATAAAAATACAACCTTGCTAATGAGAGGGCCTTTCTGCCTATGGACTGCACATTGATGACCAAGTCCTGATGGGTTGGAAAGCTGATTTTTCTAGCTAAAGTTAAAACACAGGCAATAAGTTGGGTGACTTATCAAAGGAAAAAGACTGGGGTCCTAGAAAAACATTGCTCCAGTTTCCACATCTCTTTTGAGCATCTTGTCTCAAGGACACCAATCTTGAAAAAGGGAACAATTAACTTATTGTGAAGATGCAGCTGGGATACAGCTGGGGAGCAAGGAACAAATTTTGGGTAGCTACCCACTTCAGAGATGAAAGAAGATACCACTAATCTGAGGAGCAGGGCAGTGGCCAAGGCACAGAGCTAATTTCCAAATTAAGGAGACTGAGGTCAGTATCTCAGCTTGAAGCACTAGCCCATGAACTTGAATAGAAGAAACCCATTAAATCCATAGGGGAGCTGAATTGTCAAAGAAAGTGATCAACTATGCTTCCGGCCAGTGTGGCTCAGTGAATTGAGCATTGTCCCATGGACTGAGAGGTCCTGGTTCAATTCCTGGCCTGGGCACATGTCCAGGTTGCAGGCTTGATTCCCAGTGGGGTGAGTGCAGGAGGCAGCCAATGGATGTTTCTCTCTTACATCGATGTTTCTCCCTCCCTCCCTCCCTCCCTCCCTCCCTCCCTCCCTCCCTCCCTCCCTCCCTCCCTCCCTCCCTCCCTCTCTTCCTCTTTCCCTAAGAAATCAATAAAAACATATTAAAAAAAAAAAAGGAAAGTGGCCAACTATGGTCTAAGACTCTCTGAACTTGTATGTACAAGAAGTAGGGTGTCAAAATAGTGACTCTTCTTGGAAGGCATCAATCCCATGCCCACACAGATGTTAACAAGGTAGTGGATGGAGGAGACACACTCAAATTCAGAACTTGGTGTTGCCATCTTGTCTAACTGAAGAACTTGCTCTACCACTAGGACAAAGAATCCTCATTATTTCTTTACTATTATTCCCCATTCTCCCCTTCTCCAAATGGAGAGTTCCCATTCTGGAAATGCTTGATGCAGGTATCCTGGGTTTCTCTTGGCATTGCTGGCTGTGCTGAAGGTGAGCTTCAGAATTTAGTTAAGAGGTTACCATTCCATGAGTAGCTGCTTTCAGACATGATGGAGACTATGATGTGTCTTCCAGAAAATAATAAACTTGAATTGAATCCAGTAACTGGCTGAATTGTGGAACTTTACCATTTGGGGGAAGGAGTGGGTCTTTTTTAACTGAGTGTGGGCATTTCTGATAATTATTTAAGGGAAGGAGAGTGTATGAACATTGGTTCACCAAAAGGGTGGACCATAGTGAGATGTTATAGTTACTGCTGTAACACCCATCTCCCAAACTCTGAATAATAACCTTTATTTTGTTCAGGTAACTATGCTCAAACTCACAGCTTAATGCATGGCTTAGAGAAAGCCAATTCCACTCCCACTAGGACTGGGGAGTACAGCTGATATTAAGCTTACACAGTGACTCCACGCAGACCTTTGAAACTGAATGAGGCTCTGCTTGGAACTCCTCAGAGACACCTTCTCTCTTTCCTTCTCTTTTCGGGGTACCACTGTTGGGGAATATAAGTGTTGGAGCAGCCATTTCACCACCATGAGGGGAAATAACCACGGCTGAAGCAAACACAAGGAGGAAAATGGAAAGAATCAGAGAAATGGAGCTGTGACCTGATTGTACCGTACCCACCTTTGCCCTTGGCTTTTATTATATTGTCTTCTTTAATATTTGATCCAGTTAAAGAGTCTTCTGTTACTTGCAACCAAACAACCAACTACTATAGAGTGTGATAAATGTTAAAAATAAAAGTATGAAAAAGTGTTGGGTAATTGAGAAGGTAGGATAATTCACTAAGAGAAGCAATGTTTCTTTAAGCATTTAGGATGGAGGGTTGAAAAGGATCACTGTAGTTCTTAGTATCAAGCACATCCTTTATGTGGGGTTTTATTGGACTCATCTGCAGCCATCATTATACATTGCTTAGTCCATCCATGGAAATGGATGTGTAAAGGCCTTCAGTGCTGGGCATGGCACCTGGCATCTAAAAGTCCCCAATAAATTTGGAAGATGAAAGGAAACCTATGATCTGTCCTTGTCTCTTGGTAGGCTGAGGGAGTTCCCCAATGTCCACTCATACTCTGAGAAGCCAGTCACCACTTAACCCTTTTCCTCCACTGCTGTTGCAGAAAATGGATCACATGTCTCCCAGGTTGAGAGCTTTCCTCTCTGAACCCATTGGAGAAAAGGATGTTGGCTGGGTAGATGGGATCAGCCACGAACTTGCAATCAATTTGGTCGCCAAAGGTTTCAACAAGGTAATTCCTTTTTTCTTACTTCTCCAACTTCTCTTCCCAGCCTCTCTTCCCCTAGCCCTGCATTATGTTCCTGCAAGTGGCCGTGAAAGAGCAAAGCTTCCACTTGGCAGGGCGCCACATGCTTCTGTGATACTGATCCCACCCATATGCTTGGGCATCTTCAAGAGTCAGTGGATGATGGGAAAATTGAACCTCTTTGGCTCAGAGTATCTGAGCCAGGTATGATTTATTTGGTGTTCAAACACCCAGTGGTTGACAGAGATGAACCAGACACCTGAGTCTGGGGCTGAACTGTTGGAATGGATGAATTGGGTGCACTCCCCACATCCATGCAGAGACTTGTGGGGTCTCACTTGCCCCATCTGGGCACCAGCCTGGAGAAGGCAGGTGGAGTAACAGCAGCCTGGGGTCTACACCAGAGTAAGAGGATATGAGTTGTTCGAAGATGTTACTCACAGCCCAACAATGGCCTCAAGGATATCTAATGGATTCTGAACATGTAATTGCTTCCATGTAATTGCTTCCATGGTGCTATTACAAGGCTGCTTGGAACTTTAGGACAGAATGAGAGATGGTCCCAATGAGCACCCAAAGAAAGTGAGCACACACAGAGGCGGGTGGGAATTCACACAGAGCCTTGCATGCTCTGTCAAGAGAGGCACCAACAACAGAACTATTGTTGCTTACTCCCTTCAGTTTTCAACATCAGTCTACATGACCAGGCAGAAAGACAGTGCAGAAACACCCAATGAGGCTGGGAACTGCTGCTTGCACGGCTGATAATCAGTTTGGTTTGCACCTGCACAGTGCACAGCTATTTCCAGGAGGCATCTGGACTACTGGGCCTGTGGTTTTCTAATTGACATGCTGCTTTGCACCAGATGTTAAATATTCTGAAAATTACCCTAATCTAGCAGCCAATTTAATATCCAATAGGTAGTATTATTAGAAAGTTGGAATTCCATGATTAAGGTACATTTGATTCTTTCCTCTCAGATAAAAGAGGTAGGACCACTCCCCAGTACATAATATGGTGGGCAAATCTGACTAGAGGAGAGATTTTAAATTAAAAATTTTTTTTTCTTTTTAGATAAAGTGGGAGGGAGGGAGAGAGAGAGAAACATCACTGTGAGAGAAATACATTGATTCGTTGCTTTCCACATGACCCCTCCCAGGGCCGGGGACCAAACCTGCAACTAAAGTATGTGCCTTTGACCAAGAATTGAACCCACGACTCTTTGGTCTGCAGGCTGCTATTCTAAATGCTGAGCCAAACCAGCCTGGGCAAAAAATTCTTTAAAAAGAAATGATTGTCTTTTTTACTTTACTATTGTAGTATAGCATACTTACACTGATATGAATGGTTCAGTTCAATAAATTTTTCACATATTTATACATCCATGGACCCACTACCTAGATCAAATGGTCAGATACCTCCAGAATTCTAGATGGTTCTCTCGTGCCTCTTCCAGATCAATGCCATCCCCCACTTCAAGACATAAACAGTATTCTGGCTTCTATCGCCATTAATTTAGTCTTTCCATAATTGTGAGGTTTGGCTATGGGTTAGCCATATTCATCATTTAAAAAATAATTTCATTTACATACAGTAAATTTTACCTTTCTAGTATACCGTTCTGCACGTTTTGACAGGTACAAGCACTCATGTAGCCACTACCACAATCAAGACATAAAGCAATTCTGTCACTCCAAAATGTCCCCCATAATCTTCATATTCCCCACCCTCAGTCCCTGGAAACCACTGATTTATTTTCTGTTCCTATAGTTCTTATTTTTCCAGTTTAACTGTGTTTTTAATGAGAATTGCAGGTAGGGTGATAGGCATGTGTAAGACAAAGGAATGAATGAGAAATTCTCAGGCATCCAAGCACTTGCTACTCAGAGTCTGGGCTGTAGTCATGATAGTTTTCTCGGTCTTGTCTCATGGGTGCTGGTTCTTTCTGCACCATTTCTGAGGCTCCACTGAGATGCAGACCATGAGGTTGTCCTCAGCCCTACTTGCCTGGCCATCAGCACTCTCCCAAAACACTGAAACACTGGAGTCCAGACTCCCTGCAATGTATTCATCCAATTCTCCTCAGGATCCCAAAAGTTAAACATCCTCTCTGGGTGATTTCATGCTTGCCCTTCCTTGGAGCAGTCAGCTCTGGCCTGAGAACTTAGATCTCTACTGTCCAACATGGTGGTCCCTGGCCACTTATACCGGTGAGCATCCATCTGAATTGAGATGTGCTAAAAATATAAAATACACACTACAATTTTAAAGACTTAAGACAAAAAAATTAAAAGTATCTCATCAATATTTTTGGTTGCAATATTAATGATTACATGTTGAAATTATAATATTTAGAAATAAGGGAGAAAATAAAACATTAGAACTGATTTCATCAGTTTCTTTTTATTTTTTTTTAATTAATTTATTTCAGAGAGAAAGAAAAAAAGAGGAAGAGGAGGGAGAGAGATTTGTTGTTCTACTTATTAATGCATTCATTGGGTGCTTCTTATATGTGCCCTGACCAGGGATCAAACCTGCAACCTTGGTGTCGCGGAATGACGCTCTAACCAGCTGAGCTGTCTGATCAGGGCCTCACCTGTTTTCTTTCTCCCTTTTGCTGTGGCTACTAGAAAATTAAAAATTACATATGTGGCTAATTCACATTAGATTTCTACTGGACACCATTGGTCTAGATTTAATGGTGGGAGGGCTGCATGGGAAAAAGGAATTACTGAGAAAGGAAAATACATTATGCACAAATACTCAAGGCTTTCTACAGCCTAACTCTAGCTACATCTTATATTCTTCTGTCTCTCTGTGAACCCACCCCATATTCCAGCCAGACTATCCACAATCCACAAACACATATGGGACCTCCCTCCTGCAGACCTGAGTCCCCTCTCAAAATGGATTCCCATCCCCTCCAAGGCCCTCTCACAGCCCACCCCTTCTGGGAAGTAAGCCTTCCTTCTGCTCACTACCCCAGCCTAACAGGCTTCTGTTTCTGAAGACTGAGTATTCAGTAGGACCCCTTGCTATGATATTCATACCATTGACTATTTTTTCCACATGTGGACTGAGAAACACATGAATTTGGAGGCACAGCTTGCCTTTGGTATACTCCCACACCTCCTCTGAGGCAGAGGATGGTTCTATGTTCTTTGTACTCCTCTTGTCCCTATGAAAATCTTGCCCAGGAGTGAGTGAATTTCTAGGTGCTTGATAAATTCAGAGTTATCAAACAGTGCCTCGTAGGGGAAGATGCATTACTCTGGGGATAATTCTAGACTTATTCCAACAGGTGGAAGTAAGTCTAACATCCCAGAGACTGTGATTTGGCTCTTTGAAGACACTATAAAGTCACATCCTTGAGTCTAAATTTTCCTCCTAAAAGAGGCTTGGAAGATCAGGGTGGAGTAAATGTTCTGGGTGCCATCTGCTCTCCAAATCTCTCCTAATAAGAGAATTAGCATAAGATATTTTCTACATGTCAGGGACTGTTCTAAGTGCATCACATGTATTTATTTTATTAACCATAAAAAAATCCTATAATTTATATTCAGCTCCATTTTACCAATGGGGAAATTGAGACACATAACAGCTGCATGATTCACTCAATGTCATTCAAGGTGAGAGAGACAAAATTTGAATCTGGGCAGACAGGCTCTGGGACAGGCATTCACATAAGTTTGGGGTTACCTTGCATAGGGTTGCCAGACAAAATAAGGATGCCCGGTTAAATTTTAGATAAACAATATTTTTAGTATACGTTTGCCCCAGGGAGACAGGAAAGAGAAAGGAGAAGGGGCAAGTCCTGCATTGGATTGAGCATTTACACTAAAGAAAATAATTTTTAAACTGGAAATGACTGAAAGATATTGGATTTGCCAGGTTATCATTGGCTATCAGTAGCCGTGAAGGCTTAGAACCAATAGCCATTTAGAACAGTGACTTTTAATTGGTGTGCTGCAAGAATTTTTAAAACATGCGATACCTGACTATTCAGTCAGGGGCACTGACCTCTTTTCCCTTAGATTGTCAAATTAAAAAATAAAAATAGCCAACATAACCATAGCCATCTACTGTGAATGAATCAAAATTATACCTATTTTTTTTTTGTCAGATCTGTGAAAAATACATTTTTTGGTGTGCCACAGAATTTTAGTAATTGATTTATGTGTGCCATGAGATGAGAAAGGTTGAAAATCACTGAATTAGAGAAACAGAGAGAAAGTTGTTCGTCACACAGTGAAGTCTTGTGGCGATGGAAAATCACTCACTGTGGGTGCTGAGGAGCCCTGGGAGCTTTGACAGAGGGAACAGAGAAGCTTGAGAATGAGAGGGCTGAGCCTCCATATCATTGTTTGAAAGGCCAGGTGTCATAGTGAAGACTGAAATTTTTAGTTAGCACAACCAGCTACCTCATTTTCGGGGCCCAGTACAAAATGAAGATGTGAGGCTCCTTGTGTAAACGTATGAAGAATTTTAAGATGGCAGCAGCAGAGCATTAGACCAGGTGGGGCCTTCTCAGTGCAGTCCTGGTGTGACTGTGTGGGTCACACACAGGGAACCCAACTCCAGTGCAGACACAAATGTTGCTATTGTTCGGCAAGAAATTGGACATGGAAAACTGGAGGGTGACCCAGACTTGCTCACTGTTTGGACTTGGAATTGAAGGGAAGTGTGCCCTGTTGGGTCACCATCCTTCCACATGGAAATGGCTGCCACAGGAAAGAATGAACATCACTGGCTTTGACATGGCCACTGTCCAGGGTGGTGGGAGCATGGGAATGTCTGCTCAGGATTTCTGTGTCTCTACATCATCGTTCCTACAGCCAGATTTTTCTGAGCTTTGGCCCAAGAAGGGAGAGGGGTAGTTTCTCTTCTCCAGGGTTATGGGCTGCCTTTCTGGAGCCAGTAGAGAAACCAAGCAGGCTTCCAGCAGGGCCATGATGGGAATCCATAACTCCAGTTCCTTTGGGAGCAAAGTGAAGCAAGCTAACTTTCCCTCCCTACTGATGGGAGGTAGCAGGCTGAGAACAGAGAGAAAATGGAGAAGGGCGTGTCAGATTGCAACTTGGCTCTGGAGGCTGTAAGATGAGGCCCTTCTTCCTGCAGCATTCCTGGAAAGTTTGCTTCTGACCCTGTGTACCATGTATTCCCTGGCTTCTGGGCTACCAAGTCTGGTGGGAACATGGAGGTCCTATTACCAGACTGGTGGATATTAGCAGCGAGGCCTTCAAAGTGGCAGAGGACTCTACAGATGCCAGACCAGACTTAGATGGTTGGGATGTGCAAAAGTGAGGCTGAGGAAAACAGGAGTCTTCACCTTCTAATTCTTAGTGACTCTATCTGGAGAATGGGATGGGACACATGAGGATCAGAGGGATTAAAACATGCCAGGGCACAAGAACAGGCATATAGACCAGTGAACCAGAACAGAGAACCCAGAAATGGACCCAAGACATTATGCTCAATTAATATTTGACAAAGGAGGCAAGAGCATACAATGGAGTAAAGACAGCCTCTTTAATAAATGGTGTTGGGAAAATTGGACAGCTACATGCAATAAAAAAAAAAAAAAATGACACCAGACCGTCAACTTACACCATACACAAAAATAAACTCAAAATGGATAAAAGACTTAAATGTGACCCACGAATCCATAAAAATCCTAGAAGAAACTGTAGGCAGCAAAATTTCTGATATCATACGCAGCAGAATTTTCACTGATACATCACCTAAGGCAACAGAAACAAAGGAAAAAATGAACACATGGGACTACATCAAACTAAAAAGCTTCTGTACAGCAAAAGATACAACCATCAAAATGGAAAGGCAACCCACTGTATGGGAGAACATCATTGCCAGTGATACATCAGATAAGGGGTTAATTTCCAAAATATTTAGAGTGCTCATACAACTCAACAAAAGGAAGACAAAGAACCTAATTTAAAAATGGACAGAGGACCTGAATAGACACCTCTCCAAACAGGACATACAAATGGCCAAGAGACATATGAAGAAATGCTCAACATCACTAATCATCAGAGAGATACAAATTAAAACAACAATGAGGTATCACCTCACACCTGTCAGAATGGCCACCATCAACAAATCATCAAACAAGTGTTGGCAAGCGTGTGGAGAAAAGGGGACTCTAGTACACTGATGGTGGGAATACGGACTGGTGCAGCCACTATGAAAAACAATATGGTGTTACCTCAAAAAATTAAAAATTAAATTGCCATTTGACCCAGTGATCCCACTTCTAGGAATATACCCTAAGAAGCCTGAAACACCAATCAAAAAGAATATATGTACCCCCATCTTCATAACAGCACTATTTACAATAGCTAAGATCTGGAAACAGCCCAAGTGTCCATCAATAGATGAATGGATCAAAAAGCTGTGGTACATATGCACAATGGAGTACTATGCAGCGGTAAGAAAGAAATATCTCTTATTCTTTGAGATGACATGTAGAAACCTGGAAAATATTATCCTAAGTGAAACAAGCCAAGCAGAAAAAGACAAATACCACATGATCTCACTTATTTGTGGAATATAATGAACATAACAGTCTGAGGAATAGGGTAGACCCAGAGACGTGGAAGTAGGGTTCAGACTGACAACCCTTGGAAGAGGGGGTGGTGGGAGAAGGGAGGAGATAAACCACAGAACTTATATGCATGTATGCATGAGCAATGGACATGGACAACAAAACCGGGGAGAGGGTGGGGGCAATGGGGTGGAGGGGTTAAAAAAGGAGAAACATCTGTAACAAAAATAAAAAAACATGCCAGGGTCCTGGAGCTCACCAAAGGAACTCAGAAGTGCAACTTACTATCATCATCATCATCATTCTCAATGTTCTCTCTCCTTGGACAAAGCTCTGTGTTTCTTGATCCTGTCATTTCATGTCTTCACCTCCCACACCTACTGCAGCAATTGGCTCAATTAACATTCAATAAATTTTAATTTTTTTAAATGTTCAATTAAAAACATCTCAGTAAAATCCATCACTGAAACTTTGAGAACACTTATAAAGTAAAATGAGATCATTTTAAGCAACTATACTGCTTTTTAGGATGATTAAAATAGCAGTTTTAGCCCTGGCCAGTGTGGGTCACTTGATTGGAGCATCATCTCGTACACTGAAAGGTCACAGGTTTGATTTCCAATCAGGGAACATACCCAGGTTGTGGATTCGATGTCCTTTGGGGCCTAGGTGGGGGGCAACTGATTGATGTTTTGCTCTTACATTGATCTTTTTCTGTATATATATGTATATAATCAATTTTTTAAAAAAGCATGAAAACTGATGAACCTCAGAGGGAAGGGGAGAAGGGTGGCAGGAAGAGATTAACCAAGGAATTTATATGCATATATGCACTGCCCATGGACACAGAGGATAGGGTGGTGAAGGCCTGGGGCCGGAAGAAAACTAGGAGGAGGGGAACAATGGAGGGAAGGGGAGACATCTGTAATACTCTCAACAATAAATATTTAATTTTTTAAAAATGCATGAAAAATTATTTTAAAATAGTTTTAAATGTCCATGAAATTCTGGCTTTTCCTCTTTTCAACTGGACAATGACTCAAAATAAAAAAGCCCAAACTCCAATGCTCAGGTATGTTTTATGACTGGGATTCCGCTTTATTTAATTTCTCTTTTAAAAAATATGTTTCCTTCAGTCAAGATTAACTTTGCTTTGTTTTATGCAACTAAAAGTAAACAGATGCCACTGGGTTTTCCTGGAGATGGTCCAGAACTTGAGATGTGGACACTGGTTCTTGTCCATTCCAGGCTGGAGAGCCACCAAACCACTCTGAGAGGTTGACATTTAATATCACCTTAAATCTCCAGGCTTCACTGTTTGGTGGCTGGGCCAATCTGTGGTCATATGGTCTTGGATGTCCCTCTCTCCACATGGTCTTTGTTCCTCATCAGTCAGAGTGTGATTAAAATGATAAAAAGGAAATGCAACATTGTGGGGCAAAGTAATTAGAAAACTAAGAATGCCATAGACTAAGAGTCCTGAAATCTTTATTTTACATGTGTTTTTTTCCTCAGAGACTCTTCAGAAGGGAAAGATGGGTGTGTTGTATGCCTTCTGCTCCACCCACAGGGCTATGTATCTAGGGTGAAAAGGGAATTTACACTATTCTAATACTCTCACATTGAACTCACTTAATTCAATTTGCAGGATGGGGCAGAACATACTATGTGCCTTTGAAGACAGCAGAAACTAAGGCCCAGATTCTGCAGGTTCTCACACAGAAGCAAATCAATGCTAAGACTCCCTTCATCTGCTAGTCTCATGTGTAGTGTTTCTAAATCAAGGGAAATTTTTGTCCCTGGAAATGTCTGAAGATGGTTATGATTGTCACAATTCAGGGGAGTGGGTGTGTATTACTGGCATCTAGTGGGTAAAGGCCAGGAACGTCACTAAACATCCTACAATGCACAGGATGACCCCCGACCCCACCACACACACACATACACACAATACACAAGTATCCAAAATGTCAACAGTGCCTAGGGCTAGAAACCCTTTGCTAGAATAATTGAAAAAGTAGAGGATTGGAGAGCAACTGTGTGTGTGTGTGTGTGTGTGTGTGTGTGTGTGTGTGTGTGTGAGAGAGAGAGAGAGAGAGAGAGAGAGAGAGAGAGAGAGAGAGAGAGAAATACGAGATCAGAGGCCTGAAGGGAGCATCAGAGGTATGCTAGGCTCTTGCTACTCAAAATGTTGCCCTTGGATGATCATCATCCAGAAGCATGTTAGAAATGCAGACTCTCAGGTCCCACTCCAGGCTTTCTGAGCCAGAATCTGTCTTTTAACAAGATTCCAGGTGATTCATGCACTCATTAAAGTTGAGAAGGACAGGCTCTGGTTTATCTCAGACTGGACAGCCTCCAACTCTGCCCTGAGAGACAAGCATTTGACTTGGCCTTATATCTCAACAAAAAGCCTGTCCCAAATCCCTATTGCCCACTCAGGGTTTCGGGGACTGCCAGTATGACCAGCCCTTCCTTCGATTTTCATGTGGGCCCTCATGTTGAGGGAGGAAGAGCACATGTGAGCAGGTTTATTATAACCTTTTCTATTTTCCTCCTTGCCTCATCCCCTCTCCACAGGCCTACACCCTGCTGGGACAGTTCCTTCTGATGCACAAGAATGAAGCTGAATTTCAGAGGTGGCTTATTTGTTGTTGTGGCGCCACAGAGTGTGAGGCCCAGGAGAGTTCTAACTGCCTGAAGGAGTGGTGCTCCTGCTTCCTATAAACATACCTCCTTGCACTGCCGCCCGGGGAATGACACCTTCTGTACCCAGACCCAGGCTCAGAGTCGTTATTTTTTGTTTTTAACTTTAATGATATATGCTTGTTACAAAAGTAATTCAAGAATATAACAAAGGACAAACATAAGAAAAATGACTCAAGTCCACTACCTAGAAGTGACTGTCATTTCCCTTACACGAATAACATGCCAAATATCTCAGCATATATTTATATAAAAGAATGAACAATTTTGCTTAAAAATGGGAATTAAATTTTGTCAGTGTATTAGTTATCTATTGCTACATAACAAATAAACACTAAACACAGCAGCTTAAACAGTAATTTTATCTCACACAGGTTCTGAGGGTCAGGAATTAGCTATTTCTGTCTTCTGCTACATGTTCAGTACATGTTATTAGGTGAGTGCTGTCTGTTGTCATCACTCTGAGTCTTAAGTTGATAGAAATCCCCTCTCAATGTGTGCTTGCATGAGTACCACACAGTGGGAAGGTGCCATGGTGAATTACACAGTGTCTTTCAAAGCCTCTGCTCAGAGTGATACCCTCCACTTATGTTCTCATTTCATTGACCTGAGCAAGTCACATGGTCATACCTAACTCCAAAGGGGCAAAGATTCTTCTGAAATCAGAAAAAGTGGAAATGTAGTGACAATACTCAATTAAGTTTATTATTTTCCCCTGAATGCCTCAAAACTTTTATATTTCCTAAGTGTATAATATGACTGGAATATTTCTATTGGGGCCTGCTTAACTCTCTAGTTTTGCTTCTTTAACTCACCCCAAAAAGAGACTAGAGAAAAATTTTAGGTGAGCCAACTGGTTGTCCAAAGATTTGAATAGCTCCATCTCCTGAGAGCTCAGGTTCTGACCATCCAGAGTCTTTCCCCTGTTCCCTCCTGCATAGATTAATTCAGTGGATTAATTCTCCATTAAAATAGTCATACTATTAGAAGTCATTCCATTTCTAAGACAGGAGCTGGCTGGCTATAGAGAAAGGAGAGAAGGAAGTAGCTTTGTCATTCACTCTATTTCCACATATCTGGCTCCCCAAAATCTTCCTCACAGACACTGGGAATGTTTTCCACAAGCCATTCATTCCCTTGTGTCTATTTTTGTCTTCCTCGTAGATGAAGTTTTTGGCTCCAGTTCTTCACCTTTCCCTGTGTGCCCCACCTTTGCCAAAAGATCTTGCAGTTCCTCCCATTAGAGGCAGAGTAACTCCCAGTCCTTAGACATAGACTTGGCCAGTGTTACAAGCCTGAAATGACAGCGTGCCAGTTCTGAGCCTCATTTCACATTTCCACTTGCTCTCCTGTGCCTCTGTTAACACTGAAAGAAGAGCTATGGCCAATGCCACCTTACCCAGGTGAGCTACTTAACCTCTCTGAGCCTTGGTTTCCTCACCTGTAAGTGGGGGCAATAGATAAATACCCTGCCTCACAGGGTGAATGAACTAAGGTAGTAGTATCTGTCTGGTATGTGGTACACAGCAGGAACATTGTCCCTGTTCTTCAAATCTCCTCGAGCCTGGTTTCCTGAGAGCTTGGACACTGTGTGGCACTCATGAGAGAATTCACAGCTGCGAGTTGGAAGGAGCCCAGCTATCAGCTTATCCAATCTAGTCCAATTCTGTCTCACGTACAAGTACTGGACACTATACAACTGGTAGAAAAAATTCTTTAGTGGGTGAGTAGAAGAGGACAACTAATAAAAATCAGATTATTTCAGATTTTTATTGGAATCTTGTTAGGGTCACATTATCCCATGGAGCCCCAAAAGCATTTTCAAGAACACTCTGGAGGAACAGGCTTGCCTTGTGTCCTCAGCCCAGTTAAAGGCTCATCATCTACTTGGCAGGGCAGTTATTTCAATGATTTGGGAAAGGATTGGTGCCTAAAAATATTTACGAATTGTCATGGATTTGACCAGCATCTTAAACAGGAACTGAACCATCTGCATGGAAGAGGGGCCAGATGTTGACTCTTGGCTTGACATCTGTAGTCTGGAAATATCCATGAATTAACAAACAATTTTGATTAGTATTTATGGAGTGTCTAAGGTTCTGGGTATGGTTAGGTGCTATGGAAAAAGCAAGAGAGGTATGAGTTTCTCTAGCTTAAAGGAGCTTACAACTTAATAAGAAGCGATTGAAAAAAGGGAGGGCAAAACAGCCAAGGTGGTAGAAGGTGTATCTTAGTTTGAGCCACCCACCCAGAAGCAGATCCTGAGACATGGTTTGAGGGAAAGGAGTGTATTCAGGAGTGCTCCCAGGAAATGCCTGTAGGGGAGGGAGGAGTGTGTCAGGGAGGGCATAACAGCCAAAAAAAGGTGTGTCATCATTATCACTGCGAGCAACTGGACCTCAGTGCTGCCAGAGAACTCCAGGAGCCAGTGTAGACAGGCATTTAGTTACCCTACCCTAGGGTATCTAAACACAACTCTTGGCAGCTATTTATTGAGCACTGCTCCCACAGGAAGTTAATCCTTCAGCTCTTGAGCCTGCCACGTGGGTAAAGTGAACCTCATTGAGAAAGCAGTCAGGCAGAGATTGCAGGCACGGACAACTGGAAGCCAGGCCAGCCACATGCACTGAAGTGGAGAGGGTGAGGGCACATAGCGAGCAGGGCACCCACAGCTTCTGCCATGGTGGGTATTGGAGTAAGGACACACTTAACTTTGAAAACAGAATGCACCCCTTAATGCTTGTTCTAAGACCTTTGGAAAATCACCCTCTCAGCCCAGTTGCCTTCTATAAAATGATGATGATAAAAGTATTTACTCAAGCATTAGGAAGATTAAAATTCTTGGCACCTGCTAAAAGCTTCATGCATGGATAGCTCTATAAACCTAAGTATTGAAATGTATGGCACTGATTGATTGTGTATTGGTATTTAAACAAAGGAGAAGTAGGTATGGGTGAGACTGGTCAGGGAAAGCTTCTAGGAAGAGGTGACATTTCAGCTTGATGTTAAAGGGGAGGCCAGGGTTGAATAAGCTAAGGATGGAGAAGAGGGAGGGGAGAAAGAAGGGAGACAGGGAGGAGGGAGAGAAGGAGCTATAAGGAAAAAGACAAACATAGTTGGCCCAGAAAGAGTGAGTTGTGGGGACTCTGTAGGAACAGGTAAGGGGTAGTGCTGGAGTTTGTACGGTAAGAGGCCTCCTCCCATTTCCCCAGACTGAGTGTGAGCTGGTAGTTGGCCCCATTTGAGAAGCCAGTCACTCCTAACGAATGTTAGCGCTCTACAGCAGTCAGTGGGAACTGGGACCCCAGCCATGCTAATAACCCAAAATTGGTTGGCTCTGTTCCTCAATCCTGAGAAACACCCTGTAGTAACTGATTCTTAAAAATACCAACAAACCTTTACTTCTCCTATCCATACTCTTCATATGACTACAGCTCCTCCTGACAAGAGGGGGAGTCATTCTCCTTTCCTATTGAATCTGGACTAACTTTGTGACTTGCTTTGAACAAAATATCGCAGATGTGACATTGTGACTTCTGTGAGCCTAGGCTTCTGCTTGCTCTCCTGCATCTGTGACCACCATGGGAACAAACCTGGACTAGCTTCCAGGAGGACAAGAGACACATGGCCTAGTTGTCCCCATTGCTTCAGCCAATAGCCAGCTGACCTCCATACATGTTAGTGAGGTCTTCCTGGACCAGCCAACCTATCAGCTGACCTCAGGTCTGTAAGTAAGTCCAGCTGAGATCAGCCATAGCTGGCCAAGACCAGAAAAACCACCCAATTAACCCACAGACTCACATAAATAAATCTTATTATTCTAAGCTACTGTATTTTGGGGGATGTTTGTCATGCAGCTATTCGGCTTCGGAGTGTGGAGTATGTCCAGGTGCAAAGTGGGAACCTCCTACTTATTTTTTAGAAACCATCCTGAGGAATATTTTTCTATTTGTAATAATGAAAGGGATCACCATGGCTCATACATGAAAACCAAGCAACTGTGGTGGGGGAACAGTGAAGAGAACAGTGGAAGGTAAGCTATGAACAGTATTTTTTTAAAAGTGTGACTCAGAGTGGAAGGAGGTAGGACAAAATTATGACAATCTCAGACAGCGAGACAAGAGCTATCGATTGTGTGACTAGTTGTGGGTGGCCTGGGTGACTTATTCCTGGAAACCTCTAAAAGAAAGCTCACTCTCACAAATAAAACTTTTAGCAAGTGTTGCTGGATATATATATATATCCAGCATTTTAAAACATATATGCAATTTTTATTTTATTTCATTTTTTAAAACTGATTAAAAAATTGTTTTTTCTTCTATTGATTTTAGAGAGAGCAGAAGTGAGAGGGAGAGAGAGATAGAAACATCAATAAGAGAAAGCATCAGATTGGCCACCTCCTGCATGCCCCCCACTGGGGATCAGGTCCACAACCTGGGCATGTGTCCTGACCAGGAATCAAACTGGTAACCTCTTGGTGCGTGGGTTGACACTCAACCACTGAGCCACTCTGGCCGGAAAAACATATATGCGATTTTTAAATGTTTGCTGCTCTAAATCTTTACAAACAGAACACACAAGCAGTAGATTCAGCACATACTACACCAGATACTTTAGCATTCCCCATATCCTCCCAGGTGTGAGACTGGGGTTATTTTCTCTGTCTTACAGATGGGAAAACTGAGGACCAAAGAGGTTAAATAACATAGCTACAATGATTTGGCAAGTCGTTTCAATCCAGGCTGCCTGATGTTAACTCTGTACCCACTGCCTGCAGAGCCATCTTGGTGGTGGTGGTAGATGGTATATTTGGTGATTTAGAGGTGTTTCTCAGGGACTCAAATGTCACACCTACCAGGAACAGACAAGGCATTAGAAGGGACTCTTTGGTCCGTGGGCCGACACTAACTGCTAAGCCAAACAGGGCAGGGTGAAGCTGGCATTTTAATGGGGGAAGGCAGAAGATGAAGGTTAATAAGTAAAATATATATTAATTTGGATGATATGAAATTGACTCTTGG